GGTCCACTACAGATCGAGCCCGGACAGCTGGACCACCTCAGAAAGAGTCCACCTCGGGACAAGCCTGCCTCAGTGCAAGATCACCTCGGTACTGAGGCACTTCGGCATTCACAACAGGTCGGGTCTGAAGAACACGAGCTCAGGTGATGCTCACCAACTGCCGCATGATAATTCCAAGGATCTCACCATCGTACCCGCGTCTTACGGGATCGAGCCTTGTAACAACTATATTAGCTCACCCACTCCCCGATTCAGGAGGAAATGGGCAGCCTTACCGGTTGGTGACATTATCCCCACCTAACACGGAAACGGATCCCATCACAATGGGGATCCAGGAACTATTCCACCAAACCCGCGAGGACTCCAGTATATAAAGGCTTCACCCCCCGGGGGTGAAAAAGAGTCGTAATCTCTGCTCTCTAGCTCTCTCATAATCTAATATCATTTTCAGCTCGCAACCAAGTGCTAACTTAAGCACCGGAGCGACCCCGCCGAGTAAACACCCTCAGGTTCTCTAGTTCATCTCTTGCAGGTTCATCGAGCCAGTCGTTGCTGGTAGCCAGATCGTCTCCTGTAGGGAGCAGCCAGATTGCATTACATCATTTGGTGCCGTTTGTGGGAAATTGCTACTAAAAGCCCTTGTCTCCATTCAAAAATCTCAAGCTCAGAATCAAATCCATGGCTTCCTCCAGCAACGTCAGACAAAACAATGAAGTGAACGTCTCCGAGGGGCAACCTCAGTTCCCGTCTGTCTGCATAGGTCAAGTTCACCATACCACTTATTGCGGCTGGGGTCCCAGCGCTGACGATGCCTCAAGCGACTGCACAAGTGAACGCGCCACTCCCTCCTGTAGTCGGCGCGACATTCACTGAACCCTCTATGGTTCTGTGGGATACGCTACAAAAAGCTAAGTTCTCATCTTCTGAACGACGAAGTCTTCTTCATCCAGAAAGCTAAGTTCTCACCTTTTAGAAACTAAAGCTCTCACTTTCTATTTTCCATTTTTTATGAACTCAAAGACTATGCAGGAAGTTGATAGCTAACAGACTAAGCAACTCTACCAACTTTATTTCAACTCGGATAAAGCCTCATCAGTCCTCTTCACGAGGTACCCTCTACAAGATGAGCTCTTCGTGGCTTCCGCGGAAGTTGGCGGCCAACGGACTGCACGGACGCCCCTGCCGGTCGAGCCTTCCAAGGCTCCCGTGCGAGCTGGTGACCTAAAGTCAGTAGTGCTGCCCCCATAGGTCGAGCTCCCAGTAGCTTCTTGTAGGAGTGAGTGACCGGCGTCACTAACGAGGTTGATGCAACGCAGTCGTAGCTCTAAAGTGCCGAGCTGATAAAAGACCTCGGTAGAAACTGGCTAGGGCCAGCTCGGTTGCAAGCTCCGCATCAAACTCACTGGCTAGGGCCAGCTCGAAGAACGCTGCGTCGAAGTCTACCTAGGTGGAGCGACCAGATAAAGCAATCACACAAAACCCCCTCTTAAAGACGGCGTGATGAGCTTCACTCTCGAGGTACTTAGCCGGATCGCAAAACCTCTTGATGGTCACATCCCTGATAAGGTGTCCTCGGGGTACCTGCTCCACCTCTCCTCGAGCAGATGAATTCGCTCTCAGGCCCCAAAAATAAAGATGGTGAGGTCCTACACAAGGTTGTAAACGCTAGGACTCTTCCAACCTAAGAAGCAAATTGGATCGACGCTTACGAGCTCATCGAATTATTCATTCAAGGGCCAAAAGGAGCAATCTACTCCCTTCACCGAGTTACTTTCAGCTCGGGAGTGAGGGGCAAATGATGAGGGCGGATTTGGCCCGACCTTGTAACAGGGAGACACGTGGGCGTGACTCGACATAAGTGACAACTCGACGTGGTCAGTTCGCTACAAAGCGACCTCGGGTACCCTGTTACCCCGAACTAAAGTTACTTCGAGCCAAGATCACCCCGAACTAAGACCACCTCGGTACCAGATCGCGACCAGGTCCGCTACAGATCGAGCCCGGACAGCTGGACCACCTCGGAACAAGCCTACCTCGGTGCAAGATCACCTCGGTACTGAGGCACTTCGGCATTCACAACAGGTCGGGTCTAAAGAACACGAGCTCAGGTGATGCTCACCAACTGCCACATGATAATTCCAAGGATCTCACCATCGTACCCCGCGTCTTACGGGATCGAGCCTTGTAACGACTATATTAGCTCACCCACTCCCCGATTCAGGAGGAAATGGGCAACCTTACCGGTTGGTGACGTTATCCCCACCTAACACGGAAACGAATCCCATAACAGCGGGGATCCAGGAACTACTCCACCAAACCCGCGAGGACTCTAGTATATAACGGCTTCACCCCCCGAGGGTGAACAAGAGGCGTAATCTCGGCTCTCTAGCTCTCACAATCTAATACCATTTTCAGCTCGCAACCAAGTGCTAACTTAAGCATCTGAGCGACCCCGCCGGGTAAACACCCCCGGGTTCTCTGGTTCATCTCTTGTAGGTTCATCGAGCCCGTCGTTGCTGGTAGCCAGATCATCTCCTGCAGGGAGCAGCCGGATTGCGCCACATCAAAAACTATGGGTGGAAGTGGCTAATTTTGCTCGGGCTCGATCTATTGCTTCTCATATGTGGTCACCACCTGGTAATGGTTTTATAAAACTAAATTTTGATGGGAGTAGTGAAGGTAATCCAGGCCCTTCAAGTGTAGGAGGTGTCTTCAGAGATGAGGAGGGGAAGGTGATGGCAATGTAAAAAATTAATTATTGAAGGTAATCCAGGCCCTTCTTTGGAAGTTTGCTCATGAAAGAAGGGAAATCAAATGGCTAACTAGGGGGATGAACATCCAATTTCAGTGGGTGAAAAGAATAGTGAATGCCTTTGCAGATGCTTTGGCAAAACAGGGTGTGGGAAGGGAAAAATTGTATTGGGCTATATTGTGAGCTTGATGTTGCTTTCTTGGGGAGGGTTAAACCTTTTTAACTCTCTCTGTTTGCAATACTGTTGCAATATATTAATCTAATGAAATTCTGTTATTGATAAAAAAAAGTGGTGGTGGCGGAAGGTGATTCTAGATTCATCATTAGTTGGATGAAGAATTTGTGGGATGGGCCTTGGCAATTCACTCACCAACTCAATGAAATCAAGGAAATCTCGTCTATGATGAACTGTCAGTTCAGGTGATTCCTAGAGAGCTGAACAGTGTGGTGGATTACCTGACTAAATATGGGGTGGGCAGGGACTTTTCATATAATGACTTACTGATGTAAATGACTGGGAGGGTCTTTCTTGTTTTTGGCTGTTCCGGTCCTTCCCCCTTTTTTGGCTTTAATGAAACTTACCTTTTCTCAAAAAAAAAAAAGGCATAGTTCCTTACTTAATAATGTTTCAGTTTTGTGCCTAATGTATAAAAAATTCTAACTCCTAAAATTAATCCTTAAGGAATCCTGATATTTTCGCTATCTTTTAAATTTGGAGATATATTGTTCATGACACCAAACATCAAAAAACCCACCCATGATGTACATTAAGTTTTATTTTATCAGCCATGGTGAGTATTTCTTCACATCATAGTCATTCTTTGCATATTTCTTTCCAATGTTGTGCCTAATTTATAGAAAATTCTAACTCCTATAATTAATGCTTAAGGAATCCTGATATTTCTTTCGCGGAGATATATTGTTCAAGGCCTCAAACGACAAACATCAACAAGCCCACTCATAATGTACATTAAGTTTTATTTGTCAGCTATTGTGAGTAATTCTTCACATCATTGTGATTCTTTGCATATTTCTTTCCTATATTTTTTTTCTGTATGTCCATTCCCTAAGAATGTCTCACAAGTCTTAACAGTTAGGAGAAGGCTACATGGCCTGCAAGCTGAAACCATCAATTATTTTGCTACCATGAAACTAGAGACCCAAGTTACATCTAGCAGAGGATTCAAATAAGTTCATCTAGGGGTGCAAGTTGGGTGTGCCGAGAAAGATCAGGTCAAACCCTGAGACTTGGGCCTAAGGCCCAAGCCCAAGGTCAAGTCTGATCTTGTCCAACAAAATCCCAGCCTGAATCAGGCAGGCCAACTAGGCCTAAGGTATTGAAAAAGCCTTAGACCCTATATGTATGTAGGCCAGGCTTGGTTGAGGACCAATCTGTGAAAATTTTTGTGTTGGACTGGTCCAGGCTTGGAGTGGGCCTACCCAAGTTGCATCCCTGATTTAAGCCAATGTTTGTCAGACACGGAGTGGACTAGAGAGTCAGGCTGCCAGAAACCAGGAACCAACAGCCAAAACAATTTTTTCGTTCACTGGTTCTTAGAAATGACAACTTTGTCAAGCATGCCCCATTTACATGTGTTAATATGTTTTATACACCCTCACTTGGTCAATCCTATAAACCTCCCCTATAATTTTCCGTCAATCCTATAAACTCAGGGATGTTTATAGGATTGTCAGTAAAACTCAGGCTGGAGCTGGACCAGTCAAACAGTGTTTCCGTTTTTGATAATTCAGACTAGTCAAACAGTTGAACCACACAACCAAAGCAGTCAACCTGTGACTCAATAACCAAAATAGTTCTGTCTGGTCCAAATCTAGTGCAAAAAAAGCAGGGTACCAACTAGAAACCAATAAAAACTCTGACGCCTAACAACCTTCAACTTTTTTCCTTTTTCTTCAATATAAGAACACTATAAATCCTTCATACAGCAAGCACAATATGCCACTTGCATATTGTAAAGAAAATTTATATAGTCTTCTCCATCCAAATAGAGCTATAGAGTTCACCTTATCCATGTGGTGGGAAAGACATACACACTCTTAAGAAGAAAAAGAGCATTCATACACATAACAAATTGTACTCTGAAACTAAAAGAGAAAAAGAAAGGAAGAGTGTGTACAGAGTTTGTTCTCATTATGCATGTGAATATTATTATTTAACATGGTATATTGATTTCTTTTTATTAGCCATGGAGAATTGGAATAAAGAATAAATTTCTAACCCCAGAAATGGAAAATTCCATGTATCCCTTCAATATTGGATCATGGAAGAAGGGAGGCTTTCATTTAAAATAGAAAGAATCGTTCACAGACAATGGCCACTGTACGATGGGAATGGACATTCACATACCTCAAAAACATGTTGAGAATGAGACCATGAGTAATTCCCCCTCAACGCAGTCCCACTAACAACCATACCACAACAACAAGATGCCCCTTTACCCTGACGGTCCATCCCACCCCACCACTATTGCTGCTGCTGACAATTTCATGAATAGTACACGGATTCCCATCAATCAAGCCGTCAACAAATTAATTTACAACTGAGCAAGTTCCTGTGAATTTTCCATGCATTCCTTCAGGATTTGCTCGGCTCTCCTTTTTTTGTCATCCTTCTCTTCATCCTTCCCAAACCAAGCAGTTGTTTTCCCAACACTCATGCTGTGAAGGCTCAAATCAAGAGGAACGCCTAAAGACTTCTTGCCAATCCCAAACTTAAAATGCACAGTAGGCCTCTTGTTTGGTAGGGTCGTTCTCCCAGCATCTCCAGGCTCACAAACCCCGCTTTTGGCAGCTTCAATAGCAGGAGCAAAAGTCTCCAGAACTGATATCTGATTTTCAACAACCAGGTCGTTTGCCAGCTGAACTGGAAGAACAACAGGAGACACATCTTTCTCACCAAGTTGCATGGGTGGAGCAAGAAATTGATTACCATCTGCTACTCGTTTCAGCTTCACATCATCTGCAGGATCCACTTGGGCGGTAGTTGCTGAACCATTGCAAGCCAACCGCTGCTGCAAGCTCAACAAAGATCGCTCTGCCTTCCTCCGCTGCCTTGCCTGTTCAATTTTATCGGTACGAGGATCTGTTTCCCTATCATTCCATACAGGGGTGTGAATATAGGTGTGCGGATCAGGGAATGCAGGTAACCAAGGGGAAATGTGCTTTCCAGGTGGATTTTCTCCAATTTGCACAAAACTAGGTATTGATTTCCTGTTCCTGATGATTGGGAAACGAGGAACAGGACGAGCAAACGGAATCTCCTCTGCCCAGCTCACGTACCGTGTGATGTCTCGAACTGTGCCTGAAACTACAAAGCAACTGTCAACATCTGATGCACCAGCAAAGCCCTGCGGGGATCCCAAGTCTTCCAAGCCTTGAATAATATCGAAGACGTTACAATGCGTTCTACCAGCTAAATTGGCATAGAAACGCGCAGCCTTCCCTAAATCTCGGATGTATCGTATTGCAATGTCAGAGAGAGCCTCAAGCGCGGACTGCCGGGAGCTCTGAAAGCCGACGCTCTCACACATCTGAGCGACAGCAATCTTGGAAATGGCTCGGCCGAAGTCATCACTTCCTGATTCCCTCCTCGCGTCCTGTTCGTCCTCTCTTCCACACTCCCCACCTCCATCGCTCATATTCAAAACCTCATATCATTTAACCGGAAGTAGGTTTCCAAGAAACACCATTTCTTTGTCAGGGTTCCCCCCAGGATCGCATTATTCAAATCGTTGCTCACCGCTGGGATTTCCAACAGAAATATTGCCCTCACCCGACAGCAAGCATCTACAGCCAAGCAGGTTCAAGAAAACCCTAGACCGGTATTGCATTTCAAATGCAACCCGGAGAAGGAACAAACAAGACAAATAGAAGATAAAGTTCAGCCACTGCCGAGGTCTTACCGGTGATTTTTAGGGCTTCGAATGCTGAATGGAACTCAGACATTAATAAATTGGAGAATCATCGACGCAGAAGTAAACCCTAATCAGAAATCCACTCTCTTCTTTATTACATGTAATGAAGAATCAATCATCCAATTTGGCGAAAAATAAGGGTTTTGGATTATTAATGGCTCTAAACCCTCGTAAAACCCTAAACGAGGATCGAATGAGAAGAAAAAAAAGAGGGAATTGACAAAGATGGAGAGAGAGAGAAAGAGAGGGAAAAAAGGAAAAGAAGACGAAGATGAGATCGAAGGGTTGGTTTATTTATAGATCGCACTCTTGCCAAACGCAGCCTTACCCATCAACTTATGATTTTTTATCGAAATTCACATTGACTCCCCCACAGAGCACGCCCAACACACGCCCCACAGCATATCTCAACCGTATATTAAGAGCATCTCTATTCTATCCATAACAAGTACGGAAGATGTCCCAATGCACGCTAAAATATGCATTGTGCGTGGACAAAGATGTGCATTATCTCAACCGTATATCGGGAACATTTCTATTCACAAGTCACAACAAAAATTGTACCAACACAAGCTTACCGAAAAAAATTGTACCAACACTAAACAGATCCGGCCACTTTGTGGGATGTGCTGGTTGGGAGCCAATCCGAACTAAAATGGTCAGATTATCGGACAATTTTGATTTGAAATTTATTGATTTTTAGGGCATCTCTTCCTGAAACAACAAGGTGCATGACAACCCAGAATTTTCTATGGTCCTCCCGTTATTTAATGTCAAAATCGCCCTTTCAAATAGAAGAGGAGTAATCTCAACTGCTCGTTCTATCATATCGTAATACAACCTGATCCACCGAAATTGACACGAAATCTGTTCCTCGCACATAGCACATGGGCGTCTCACAGGCACAATATTTCCCGTGAATAATATCTTATAAATACGGAAAATGTTTATAATATGTGCGTGTGAGATCAGTGTGAGGCGCCTTATATGAAGAGCAGATCCGATCTCTAACTAGACGGGCACTCTTTGAAACAACGTCAGAAAAATCTATTCTGCCGGAAAGACATGATACGGGCTCAATCAATTAGTTTTTTCTTCTATTTTCCATTATTTTGTATTTTTATGTAAATTTAAATATTATATCTTTTTATTTTCATCTCCATAAATAGTAAATATATTTATTTTTTATATTAAATTATTTATTATTACTTTACAGAAAATATATGATCTTAATGTATCAGATCCATTAGAATTTATTTCCAGGATGTATGTGCAATTCATAACTTTTAATTACTAAAATAATTGTTATTTTCAATTTTATAAATTATCAAAAAAATTAAAAATTCATTTTGTGACATAAATGGTTGATGGATCAATGAATTTAATACATCACTCATAGTCATAGGTCCAGCTTATGGCACTTTCCTACCATGAAAATTATAAAATCCATGTATATACTAATACAAGGAATAAACATCACAAATCTAAAATCAAAACAATATATCCTTGCATTTCAAGCACCAAAATATGGAGATCTATTGAATATTGAAGGATCAAATGAAAAAAAAAAACCGTTCTTCTTGTTCTTGGTTCAACTTAGTTTTCTTCAAGCCCGTTTGGCGCGTCTTTTCGCTCGGTCTTTCGGTTGTTAACAAGTCGGGAAGACCGATTTTCGATCTATTTCCGTTTGGCGCATGGAAGATCTATCCACCAAAAGACGGAACGCCGAAAAGACACGAAAAGCCCATTTTGGGCTGATTTTCGAGAAGCAAAATGAAGCTTACCGTGTCTTTCGCGTTTTATTCTCGCACAGAAAGGTGTGTGGAAAGACACACATTTTCCAAATGTGCTTCGGGTTGCTCAGATTTTCATACAAAAGTTCAATGCATGTTTTGATTGTCATAGCTACCAGAAGATCTTCCCAAAAAGACGTGCCAAATGAGCCCTTCATTTTTAATGCATGATCTTAAATGAACATAAATTCTTTCACAAGTGAGAAAATGTGCTGGAAAATGAAACCAACAAAAATAATTCTTATCTATATTCCTTCTCTATGTTCAAAACTCAAATAGATAAATAATTAATTAGATAACATAAATATTAAATTTAATTTAATTTACATTAATAACTTTTAAGAAGTTATAAAGCCAATTAGCCATCAGCTAGCATATTAAAAATTTAAGATTAAGTTGCCTTATTCTTTTGGCAATATACAAAGGAAAAAATAATAAAATATAAAACAATTGATTTAATAATGAAAGTAATGATCTATGTTATTGTATGATATATATACACCTTCTGGTTTGTTGATCGTAATATATTTATTTGTATAGACGATTAAAATATATGTTTATTGTATTTATATTCTTTATTAATTATCATTTTAACTTTAAATTTAATCTTATTAATGCATTTGTAAAATTTATAAAAGTTTTCAATGTTTCAGTGCATATTCGAATCTTTCTATCATATCCATATGCATCCAAAGTTCATCCCAATAAACATCCAAAGTTCAATGTTTTGTGATACCAGTGACAGTATTCCAATTTCCAAATGTTGGTGTGTAGGGCGTACGGGGACTGGGGGATGTATATGATCTAGATAGAGATCCAGAATAACAACCAATTACCTAAAAATGGGCTTATTTATATTCTTGTCTTAGAGCCTTGGGTTTAAAGAAAGGGTTCGACTATGATATAGAAAAGATATGATATCCAAAATTCAACTGACCAATAAATTAGTAGCCAATAAGGTGTTATTTATCAAAATTCATGGGTGGATTTTGATTGGTTAAAACTCTTTCCATACCATATCTTTTTTTACATCTTAGATTTTCCTTTAAAAGAAAACAATTATTTGATCGATTTGATATCTTTTCCTGACGCCATTGAAGAACCAACAACTAAGGACACACCTCGCACTCGCAGCAACATTTAACCACCAATAGCAAGACTTGAACCCACGACCACTTGTTTATGGTATACATGTGGACAGATTCTTGTGCGCCTCAAAGTCTCAACTCAATTGATTCATGGAGGTTTCTACCATGAAGACTGGATCTTGTTGCCAACAGGCAAACCGTCGAGGGATAAAAACACATTAGGTTGATAGAACAAAACAAGTTCATGCATTAAACTCGAGTTTCCCTTAAAATTCTCCATAAAATGAAAGCGGTAAAATGAAGATTTCCTATATTTATCAGAGTTCCTCTGTAGAAATCATTTCAGTTCAGACCAAGGTTCAAAATTTAGATACATATCGGGCCATATCGACTGATACGTAGGGCATGTGCATTAATACTTCAAACATTGGTAAAACCCTCAACTATAATTTTGCTGCTTCTGGCTGTAGTTTATATGAGATGAATCTGATACCAGTAAAACCAGAATAAAATATGGCTAGCTACTGACATGGGGATCTATGAGCATATTCTTTGGGTATATTGTTCAAGTGCTTGGTACACTACTTGGTGTGTGTTTTGGACTCATGAGAAGATATTTAGCAGCAAGCATTACCGCAAAGCTTAGGATACCAAGTTTTACAGCTCCTGATATCTTCATGGACTTGTTATGCTTGCTGCTTAGTGCACAATGATTGGAAGACCTGTATAATGGGTTCTTCATAAACGAGGCATATGCATCTATTTCAGCTCTTGTTAATGCTGGCTTTAGTGACCTCTTTACAATCTGGAAATGTCGGCCACAAACAACTGTAGCAGAGATGTCGTCCCTCAGAGCCACCATACCAGCTTCCCTACAGAGGCCCTCCAATTCAGCTCCTGTAAACAGCTCAGTATCTTCTGCTACTTCTCTTAGATCAACATCATCCCCAATCTTCATGTTACGTGTATGTACACACACAATCTCATATCGGGCTTCTAAATCAGGTGGTGGTACATAAAGAACCTACAAGTTAAAAGAAACACTGGGTAAGTGTACTGTAAAAACAATCAGGGCAAGCCATTTCATCCCCCTCCCATTTTGTCTTTTGTTAAAGTACACTTACCACATGGGCCTCCAATAACAGCTGTAACAATGTGTGCATTCAACTATTCAAGTGATAACCATTTGATGAATTATGATATCTAAAAATGGAATATTGTAGAAATCTGACATGGTTTCAGATGTGGTCCACAACAAAAATGCATATTTGGATGTCTAAATACTCCAAAAAATGGCCTACATAACATGGAAAACTCAACTCAATAATCCTACCATCTGATCAGTGGTTAGGATCATTAAACAAATATCCTGGATTATGCCTGCAGTGCTAGTTCAGAATTCCTTTTTAGGGAACCATGGATATGGCAGAGACCTGCTTTATTGTGACAACAATTCCAAAAGTTAAAAAGAAAAAAGAGGATGAATACAGTACTTGGATACTTTTGCATCATCTTCACTGATTAGGCATGACCTTTCAGGCCTCCAAGCAGGCCTCTGAATGGCTCGATAATTTGGTAACCAAATACTTGCACTAATATGGAGAATTGTCAAACCAATTGCCAATCAACATGGGTGGCAATCTAAATGAGTGTAGACTTTAGGCTTAAAATTTGAACTTCCATTTCATTTTTATTCCTATTTCAGTTGGCACCATTCCGATAGAGATGAAAGTTCAGATTATTGTATTTCTTTCCAGAGTGAATGCAAATAAAGAGAGATGACAGCTTATACTTTGAGGTTATACTGTAAAAGATAGAATCCTACCAGATCAAAGCGACCAGGGCGCATAAGTGCAGCATCAACAGCATGAGGGCGATTAGTAGCAGCCAGAACTAGAATTCCCTGAAAAACAAGGGCCAATCAAATTGGAATCAACAGTTGCGGGTTATCCCAGACTTCTCATGGTATAATGACTCGTGGGATTAAATTGCTTACATTAGCCTGTTCTAGACCATCCATTTCAGTCAGTAAGGTCGATAGTAATCTCTCCCCCACTGTGGCATTGCCACTTGTGCTTGTGCTCCCACCTCTGCCATTTGAGAGAGGTAACCAATGAGAGACCCAATATTGAAAGAGGACAAAATGTGAAATGAGCAATCTCCAAACATGTAAAGTAGAAAATAGATGAACCTTAACACCTCCAATCAACGTATTCCAGGTGCCAGTACATAAAATATCATGTCCAGATCACAGAAAACGTGGACACCATGGGAACCATAATTAAACACACAAATTAAAGAACAGGTTCCAAATAGATACATCAAAATATTCATAGTGAGAAACAAAGTTGGAACAGTTTCATTGTTTAATTCAGGACCACTAACACAACTGCAATAGGAAAGACAACAAAAATTTGACAGTCACAAAAATATGAAGAGTTTGTGTCAGTAATACATACGAGGGAAAAAGGCAGAAGGCTGACATAATGCTATAAAATATCCAATTAAATGGACAAATAGAAATTAGTGTTGTTTTAGAAATTTGTGTTTTTGTGATGTATGACTTCTTTGAGCCCTTTGCAAAGGTGCATGCCTCTGATCAATAGATATGACTTGAGTCCTCAATTAGAATCCTAATAATGGACCCAAAAACCCAGTTATAAGCTTTGCAAGTCCTGAAAACCCAGTTATAAGCTTTGCATGTCAGACAACTACTCTTTGCTCCTATGGAATTCTCTTTTTGCATTCATATGGGGTCGGCTACATGAATCCTATTTCGCCAATCCATTCTATTTAAAGCCATATCCACTGCTAAATTATTAGTGCTTAAATCATTTCTTACTACTACCCATGTCCTTTTAGGTCTACCCCGAGCTCTTCTAGCCCCTTCAATGTGTAACAAATCACTTCTTCTTGTTGAGTTGGGCCGATTTCTAGTTATTGGGCCCAGTTATTTAGCTCTTATACTTTTAAGTTGTTAAGTTAGGAAGTTGTTGGGCTTTAGGCCCATTAGCTTATGTTTTTAAGTTGTGACTGTTCAGCTACTTTAGTAGCCGCCCTACTAAGGGCATTCTTGTAATCTCTTATTCTTTTAAGTATAAAATATAACGAGGGGTTGGCGGCCAGAACTAATTCAATTCTGGTTGACATCCTACTCTTTCTGTCTTCTCTTTTCTTCTCTACTGCTGAAACTCTTCATCTTCTTCTTTCTCTTCACAAAGAATTCATCAAAATTTCCAAACAGTGATTTCTACCTGGTATCAGAGCAAACCGAAGGTTCCTTGAGCTGTTTTCTCATGCAGCCCTAAATTGGCCGATTGCATGGTGATTTAAGAGGCTGATCAAAGATCTTAGGTAAGCCCGGTTTTTGGATTTTTTGGTGGATCTGTTTTGCCCTGTAGCTGGTCTAGGGTTTCCCATCAAAATCAAGGAAAACTAGAGAAAAGGGGAAAGTCTTGTTTTTGTTGGACTCTTCAGTTTTGACCTAGGAAGTGGCACCCTAATTTTTTAGGGTCCCTTGGCGTTTTCTGTAGGGTGCGGTTCAAGTCCTACCTGATTTGGAGGTCTTTGGAGAGAGCGGCTGCCTCTTCTCTCTCTTCTCCCGTCCCGCAGAAAATGAATCTTTTGTAGGAGAACCATCTAGGGCACCAGAAGGGTGTTGTTGGTACCAAAAGTGATTTAATTGATATTCTTGCATATTACAGTAATCTTTTATCCCCTTTTTGAGAAGTATGGAGGGTAACGGAGTTGAAAACAAGCCCGGGAGTGAAATGAGACCAGTGGGAGGAGGTGCTGGAGACCTTTTCAGGGTTGGGACCATTACTATAGTTAAGTTGGATGCTTCAAATTACTTAGAATGGTCACAATCTGCAAAGATGGCCATTGGTGCTCGTGGGAAGTTAGGGTATACCGCTGGTGAAGAAGTGAAACCCGAAACTAACAGCTCCCAGTGGGTACAGAAGAACTATATGGTGATGACTTGGCTATGTAATTCCATGCTGTCCCATATAAGTAAAAACTTTTTGTGGGCAAATACAGCCAAGGAAATATGGGATGGGGTTGCAGAAACCTATTCACAGAGGGAGAATGTTGCTAGGACTTTCAGTTGAGAAATCAGATTATTGCTACAAGGCAGGGAGATAGACCTATTTCTGTTTACTTTTCAGCCCTTAAAACCCTGTGGCAGGAGATTGACCATTTGGAGACAGTTGTTTGGGAAACCACTAAGGATGCAACTGCCTAACAGAAGCTTCTAGAGAAGTATAAGGTGTTCGAATTTCTTGCTGGCCTTAGTCCTGAATATGATATTGCAAGACAGCACATTCTTTCCAGGGACAGTGTTACTCTCTCCCAGGCATATGCCTTTGTGTCAGGGGAAGAGATCAGGAGAAATGTGATGATGAAAAATTCTGGGTTTGATCAATCAACCATGGTTAGCACTGTGAGACCTAAACAAGGTGGAGACCGGGGTTGCAGTGAAATCAAGAAGGAAGACAAAACGGATTTGATCTGTGACTACTATAAGAAGCCTAAACACACAAGAGATACTTGTTGGAAGCTTCATCCCCATCTTGTGCCAAATAGACTCAAAAATAAGAAGGGAAATGCTCACATGGCAGTCACTGGTGATATTCTGGCCCCTCATACTACAGTTACTCTGGAGTCTGTTGTAGCTGTTGCAGTAAGGGCCGAACTTGAGAGGTATGGGTAGTTTCTGAACTAGTGGGATATAGCCAGTTCTAGTTCAGCAACAGGTGGACAGCCAGGTACAGGTGGTTCTGGTGGAGCACACTCTACTTTCTTTGCTCACACAGGTAGTTCACATGCCACTGCAAGTTATGTTTCTACTTCAGGTAAGGAGGGACCTCCTTGGATTATAGATTTTGGAGCTTCAGAGCACATGACCCATAGTTCCACTATTTTTTCTTCTTACCAGCTCTGTTCTGGCAGAGACAAGGTCTCCACAGCTGATGGATCTCATGTTCCCATTGCTGGGAAGGGGCCTGTCAAGATTAGTGATTCCACTTCCCTTTCCTCTGTCCTTCATGTTCCCAGATTGAGTACTAATTTGTTATCTGTTAGTAGTTTGATTAAGAACCTAAACTATTCAGTAATTTTTTCTCCTGGTCATTGTATCTTGCAAGATCTAGATTCAAAGAGGACGATTGTGAGTGGTCGTGAAGTGAATGGAATCTACCTCCTGGATGTGCTTCCTCCTCATCAGAGTCAAATTATGCTTTAGCATAACCGTTTAGGTCATTTGCCTTTTTCTTCTTTGAGTCTTTTGTTTCCAAAGCTATTTGAGTCTGTTAATTTGTCAAGTTTGCAGTGTGAAGGTTATCAACTTGGAAAGCATTGTAGACATTCCTTTAAAGCTAGTAATAAAAGATGTTCATCTCCTTTTGATGTCATTCATTCTGATGTGTGGGGACCTTATCATGTTCCTCCTATGGGTGGTTATCGATATTTTCTCTTATTTGTGGATGATTTCTCTCGATATTCTTGGATTTACTTGATGAGATCCCGAGATGAGGTACCATCCTTGGTAAGGCAATTTCATCAGATGGTGTTAACACAGTTTGGAACACGAATAAAGGTGTTCAGATTAGACAATGCCAGGGAATATTTTGAAAAACACCTTGCTTCATATCTGTTAGAATATGGTGTTGTCCATCAAAGCACTTGTTCCTACAATCCACAATAGAATGGTGTTGAAGAAAGGAAGAACAGACACATTGTTGAGATTACAAGAGGCATGATGATCACATCTACAGTTCCAGTTCGGTTTTGGGGTGATGTAGTTCTCACAACAGTATTTTTGATTAACAGGGTGCCCTCCCGTATACTTGGATTCAACACCCCATTCAACCTCCTTTTTCCTGAGGGGGAGATGTTCCATATTCCTCTTAGAGTGTTTGGGTGTGTTTGCTTTGCACATATTCTTAGTCCTCAACGTTCAAAGCTTGACCCGAAGGCAAAGAAGTGTGTCTTCCTTGGATATGCAGAAAATCAGAAAGGGTACTGCTGCTATGATCCAGTCTCTGGGAGTTGGTATGTTACTATGGATGTCACTTTTTTTGAGCCACTTCTTCTCGAAGAATCCTTCTCAGGGGGAGTATTTTGGGGAAGTGAGTGAACAGTCTATCCCTCTTCCAATTCTTGTTCCTGTGTCCGCTCCTGTGCCTGATTCTCCTATGTCACCTACCTTACCACCTCCCTTGTGTCCTGCTTCTCAGTGTTACTCACGACAGAGACTTCATAGGGAGGTTGATTCCACTGCAACAGAACTCACATCGCTTCCTGTCGGTTCCTTGGAGACTCCAGATTCAGCAAATACGGATTCAAGTATTCCTCTCGATCCCTCTACTGTTTCAGTTCCCATTGATTCTACTAACCCCATTACAGATAACCTGGACCTTCCTATTGCTCTTAGAAAAGGGAAGAGAAAGTGTATTGCTCATTGTATTTCACAATACCTATTCTACAGTGGACTTTCTCCTTCCTACCGAGCTTTTCTTTCCTCTCTTGACTCCGTGTCTATACCCAAGGGTGTCAATGAGGCTCTCTCCAAACCTGAGTGGAAGACATCTATGCAAGAAGAGATGGAAGCTTTAATTAAGAATTAGACATGGGAGATTATGGACCTACCAGAGGGCAAGGAGACTATTGGATGCAGATGGGTTTACATAGTCAAATATAAGTAGATGGAAGTATAAAAAGGTATAAGGCTAGACTTGTTGCAAAAGGGTACACACAGACCTATGGCATTGATTACTTAGAGACCTTTGCACCAGTTGCAAAGATGAGCTTTATTCGGATACTTCTTTCTCTTGCTGCCACATACTCTTAGCCCCTGTTTCAACTTGATGTGAAGAATGTTTTCCTAAATGGAGATCTGCAAGAAGAAGTGTATATGGATCTTTCTGCTGGTTTCTACAGTGATGCTGAAAAGGGAAAGGCATGCAGACTTAAGAAGTCACTTTATGGCTTAAAGCAGTCTCCCAGAGCATGGTTTGACAGGTTCAGGAAAGCCGTGGTTGCTTTTGGCTACATTCAGACTCAATCTGACCATACCTTGTTTGTGAAACGA